GTGACTGCGGTACCCAGGTGTTCGGGTGAAACTGATTGAGCACCGGTCGGGTTGTTGGTGCGTATGGTGTTGCTGGTGGCTGCGTGGTAAAATAATCCGGCCACATAGCTGCAACGAAGTTGGTGAAACAAACACAGTTGCACAAGCAAAGTGCAGGCTGTCCTGGTTGTCCCTGCTGGACGGACTTGAGATGTCGAAGGCGGAGATAAAGAAAGAAGAAGGCCGATTACTTCCCGGAGGAAGCGCTGCTTCACTTGCGTTAGACACATGTTACCACGCCTGCCCTCATGTCAGTTGCACATGCCCTTGCAGTCCCTGAGAAATAAAGAAGCGGTCGAATAGAGGACAGACTAGCGAGGTAGCACCTGCTCACTAGACGCACTTTACTGCATTAGCCGTCCATTACTGCAACTGCACTCATGTCAGACGCACATGCGAGCATCAGAGAGAGAGAGATAAAATAGCATCGGGAGAATCTGAACGATCTGAACGAAGGCTGAACACCCGGTTCATCACCGGTCTCCCCGGAGGGTCACCACGGCGCCATGACGGAAAGCCGTTGCTCTGGAGTCTCAACGACCCACGCTGATCACACTGATGGATTCGGCCAAGAGTACGAGTGCAAAGGACAAAAAGAGAGGAATGTTGTTCATGTTGCAACTGTTTGTCAGATTGCGGCAACCGTACAAATTGTTTGTCTAATCTGGACACCACAGGGGGCCTGTCCTCAGACTAATCTTGGCACCACAGGGGGCTGCCGAAAATTGTGCAGGTACATGACTGAGCGTCCTCAATCACTTCCCTTCCAGTGACCTAGCTTCGTTGGATCAGGTCAGTCACTGGAAGCCTGATCCCCCTGCAACAGTTGATTTGGTAAATGTCCGATGTCGGATTATGTTGAAAAGCGAAATTGCAAACAGTGTAGGAGTGACCCTCTGCTCCCATGTGCTAGGGAGGTTCACACACACACACACACACACACACACACGCACACGCACACGCACACGCACACGCACACGCACACGCACACGCACACGCACACGCACACGCACACCCACACACACACACACACACACACACACACACACACACACACACACACACACACACACACACACACACACACACAACACAACACACACACACACACACAACACAACACACACACACACACACACACACACACACACACACACACACACACACACACACACACACACACACACACACACACACACACACACACACACACACACACACACACACACACACACACACACACACACACACACACAAACACCCACACACACACACACACACACACACACACACACACACACACACACACACACACACACACACACACACACACACACACACACACACACACACACACACACACACACACACACACACACACACACACACACACACACGCACACACACACACACACGCACACACACACACGCACACACACACACGCACACACACACACACGCACACACACACACGCACACACACACACGCACACACTGATGGATTCGGCCAAGAGTACGAGTGCAAGATGAAAAAGAGAGGCATGTTGTTCATGTTGTAAAAGCTTGTCAGATTGTGGCAACCGTACAGCTTGTTTGTTGTCAAATCAACCGCCAAAAGTGGCAACTGAAAACTCTCTAATCTTGGCACAGGGGCCTTCTAATCGGGCTGGCACAGGGGCCCCAGCTCAATTTTGTGCAGGTACAAGGTTTGTCGTCCCAAACCTCTTCCCATGGTGTTGCTAGCTTCGTTGGCCAGCGTCACAACACCATGCGCTGGCCCCCTGCAACATTTGATTCGGTAAATGTCAAATGTCTGATTGAGTTGCAAAGCAAAAATTGCAAACAGTGTAGGAGTGACCCTCTGCTCCCATGTGCTAGGGAGGTTCACGCACACACAGCCCCAATGGGGCGTGCATGCTTCAAGTAGAGTGAAATGTCTGATCCGTGGCAAAAAAGAGTGAGTGGCGCACTTTTCTCGCTGTCACTAGCGGTCGGGTGATTGTCGTGTTTCCTGATCCGAACAGGTTCTAACAAAAAGCACCGGCTTCAACGTGGCTAATGTGGTGACAGAATCCCAATCATGTAGTCGTCGACGGTTTTGTTCGAAGAAGAAAGCTGGGATTTTAGGAGTTCTGCCGGTGATCTCCTTGATGCGGTAGGAGAAGATCTTGCGAGCTTGTAGAACGTTGTCACCCAGACAAAGCACCACATGTAAGAGCATGTGCTTGTCTCTGGTGATGCGGTCGGGTGGAATTTCAACATTCATCCGAAAACATTGTCCTGCCATGGAGTACCATGGAAGGCCGGCCTCGGCAGCCTTTCGCTTTGTCATATTTTGCTGCTACCAACCGACAAACGCTTGAACAAGGAATGCAAACCAACATGGACATGCTGTGTGCTCAGGAGAAACAACCAAGTGGTGTCTTGCTGACACTCGCATGCGCAGGCTTTTTGTCACGCTTAGCGGATCTTGCAGCCCTAATCCGTCCTGAGAATTAGGATCCAACATCGAGTTTGTTGGGACAGTCACTCATGATCTTGAAATGGCATCTACATCTGAAACCTGCACGTACCAGCATTTTTGCACAGGCGGTTTTGGACCGCTTATGCTGAATAATAGGATGCACAATATCGTAAGGTGCAATCGAGTCAGAAGACCAAGGATCTCGCGATGGAGATCGGTGTGCGTCCTCAGCCATGTGTGACGTTGCCGTAGGTGAAGCTGATGATGTTGAGTGCGAAGAGCGTGTCCTCTTTCGTCTTGTAGTATGTGGATGTTGGCGTTGTTGCTGTGTTGTGGATTGGGATGCTGGTGAGATGTTGCGGGTTTTCTTTGTTTTCACGACTGTTTTGTCCTTTTTGTCTTTGTTGTCTTTCTTCTTTTTTGTCTTCGTTGTGTGCTTTGTTTTTTGCTTGTTTGTGTGACTGACTGCATGGGAGGATGTGGCGGTGTCATCCTTCCTCAGAAAAGCATCAATCTCTTCGGATCCCCATAGGCTGCTGTCGTCGTCTTCGTCCATCTGTATGCGATCCTAAAAATGTTACAACAACTGTAGTTCTGAGAAATGGCTGCGGAGTCACAACTGCATTAAGGCGTGCGCATACGCTGATCGTCAGAAAAGAGAGAGAGAGATATACAAAGATACATCACTTGGGCAACCTCACCGGCTGGCATGACCTTTCAACATGGTGCTCTTAATGTTGACCCTCATCAGGGATGATGGGGTTCACATCACAGCTTTGCTGTGTGGTTGTTGGCTGCCGGGGGCAGCAAGTATGCATCTAATTGTCAACTCAGCGATGCTGCTCACGGAGATCTTGATCGCTTTCTCTTGTTGGATGTAGGAGTTGAAGTAGTGGAAACTGGCTCCTTTTGGGTAGGAGTCGTTGAAGTCGGGAGCTGATCAGGTTGCTCCGAATGCTTTCGTATCCACTCTGCAGATGCGATGAAGTACTCACGCCACCATGAAGAGCCGTTAGTGGCCCAGTGCCATCTCCATTGTGATGCCGTGGGAGATCGCGATCTGGTGCGTTGGTCCATGGTGCTAACACAACTGGTTGTTTTGCAAAATGCTGCGGGAAAGAGTGTATCAATTGCTGCATACAAACACATGTGAAGAGAGTGTACTGACTGTCTCACTTGGCAAAACAACGATTGTTGTTTTCACCGTCTGCTGCAATCACCCAATGGTGGTATAAAACATGTTTGATCACCTATTGTTGCGAAGCTTCGAGTCTTTCCACTCGTTGCTTTAGCTCTGTAATCTGCCGGGTTGTTTGCAGAATAAACTCGGCTAATTGGTCGCGTAGAGCCTCGTCACTGAATGTGGAAGGTTCACTTCCGGTTTCGGACTCATAGTCCCGATGCTGTGTCAAAATCTCCATGAGGGCTGCGGAGATAGCTTCACGTCGTGCCTCATCGACGGGTGGCGAATCTGTAGTCGCTGTGTTTGGCGGAAGAGGTGAGTCGCTCATGGCTCGATGTCGGGATTCAAATAGGTGTCACTGTGAGGCAAAACTTCAGAAGGCAGAGTTATGGTATTGTCTGAAAGCAACATGTGTTGAACAGTGAGACGTATGCACTACCTGGCACTTTTTATACCGGCTTGCCTTAGCAGCATATTCACGACCAATCAGGCGCGTTTTGCCTGATGAGGCTTTCAAGTACGTCGAGCTGCTGTTTGCACGAGGAGAGGATCGCCGTGGTAGCCTCGTGCTGAGTAGTCAACACCGTTGTAGCCTGTTGTATCAGGCGCTCGAGTTTGGCATTCGACTCAAGCAACGAATTGTGAAACTGCGTCATTGCTGCCATAATCTCAGCCGATGAATCCGGCTCAGGGTGATGCGGAGGTGGAAATGGCGGAGTCGCCGGTGCAGCCACTGCTGCGTCCTGTTGTTCTTCCGGATCTTGGTGTTGCTCTTGGTAGTCTTGGAAATCTTCGTCTTCTGCAACACGTAGAAACTGAGAGCGCAAAAGCGCCGGCTGTGGGTTGTGGCTGCCCACCGCAGGTTGCTCGTTGCGGCTTCTGCTATGCTTGGAGATGGATGGCCGAGGACGGCTGCTCAGCGCTTTGTGGCTCGGCTGCAATCTGCCAGTCATG